TTGTTTTGTGTGTGTGTGTTCCTGCTTAACTTCAAAATGTCGTGTGTGTGTGTGTGTGTGTGTGTTCCTGCTTAGTTTCCAAAGGTCGTGTGTGTGTGAGAGAGATAAAAGGTATTCATTATGGATATTGTCGTGACTTCTCTACCACTACCCTCGTGACTACCACAACTACTACTACCAGTACTCTATTACTCCTTCTCACACCCTCATACTCTCCCGTCGTCCTCTCACTAATTAACCACTATTCTCACCTCACATTCACTACCACCACCCCCACTCACCACCATCACCCACTCACCACCACCAATCATTAACTACTATCTCCACCACTCACTCCCTCACCTCACCAACCCCACTTCACTCACACCTCAACCCCACGTCTCTCACTAGCCCTACCCTCTCACTCACCGCCCCGGCTCACCATTAGTCATGGACGAATACACAGTCAATACTACGATAATAAATCACTCATTTGTAGCCGAGTATTGTTAACCACACAAATTAACTCTCCATGACAACACACACACACACACACACACATTAATGACTCACTGTTGACATTTAACCCAGATCATATCACAAGCCAAGATCACAAAGTCACATTGAATTATAACCAAAACATATACGAAAAAAAAGGCCCCCCCAAATTCCCCACTGTCACGTCCACCTTTACATCACACCACTACCTGACCATCGCGCTGAGTTTAATGTTTCGGGGACTGTTTTTTTTTTTTTTTTTGAAGAAATTAGCCCACCCAGGTACAGGTCACTGACCCACATCGGGGCCTAGGGGGCGAAATAATAATAATAATAATAATAATAATAATAATTAATAAAGAACCACAAAAATACAAATGAAATAAATCAAAAGTGAGGAACAATATATGTATGTTGTGTTGTCAATAGTAAGAGAAACAATTGAGACCCTGCAACTGTGTGTAAATGAGGCAGAAAGTCAGATGAGCAACCTGGGACTTGGTCACAATTTTCGTGATGCCATATGGCAGCAAGATCTACCATTAGACAATACATTATGCTTCCAATATCTTCCCAGGCGGTAGTACCTCCCTGTTTGGTAGCTGCCTAATACCTACTACCTATCAGGTTGCTACGTTGTATATTTTGTATAATTATGATGTATATTTAGTACTCCAGAGTCGTGTGTATAATTAATGGGGGTTCACAGGGTTGTATTTTGTCGCTCTCTGGTTTAATGGAGTAAAAGTCGTAGGTAGTGTCGGGTAGGGTAAGGTGATTCCAGGTAAAGTAAGGTGACTTCAGGTGAAGCCAGGTAAAGTAAGACGATTCCAGGTAAGATGTAGTAAGGTTAAGGAAAACAAGGTCAGGTGAAGGCAGATGAGGGCAGGTGAGGCCAGGTAAGGTCAGGTGAGGGCAGGTGAAGGCAGATGAGGGCAGGTAGAACACTTGGCCACGGCCTGATGGTATCACCGATAGTGTTATACATGATGCACAGCCCCCACCACACTGCTGTCTGACACACCACCTGCCTGACATAACTCTGACACCACCTCACACCCCCTGGCACCATTTGACATTGATCGGCATCATCGGCTATTCCTCGGAATATCCTACACCTTCGTTACCACCCACCACTTAACTGACAACACCTGTGACAACCTTATATCATCTGTCGTCAGTTGGTCACTCGTCAGGATTAAGAACAGCTTGTTACTCGCCAGGCCAAGGACCACCAGCTGATCACTTGCCAGGTGAAGGACCACCAGCTGATCACTGCGCTGGCGTAACCACCAGCTGATCACTGCCAGGCCAGCGACCACCTGCTGATCACTCGCCAGGCCAAGGACCACCTGCTGATCACTCGCTGCGCTGGCGACCACCTGCTGATCACTTGCCAGGCCAAGGACCACCTGCTGATCACCTGCCAGGCCGGGGACCACCTGCTGATCACTCGCCAGGCCAAGGACCACCTGCTGATCACTCGCCAGGCCAAGGACCACCAGAATCACTGCCAGGCCAGGGACCACCTGCTGATCACTCGCCAGGCCAAGGACCACCTGCTGATCACTCTGCCAGCCAGGGACCACCTGCTGATCACTCGCCAGGCAAGCGACCACCTGCTGATCACTCGCCAGCGGCGACCACCAGCTAATCACTCGCCAGGCCAAGGACCACCAGCTAATCACTCGCCAGGCCAAGGACCACCAGCTAATCACTCGCCAGGCCAAGGACCACCAGCTGATCACTCACAACTACTACAATCATACACACACCCATCCATAGTACGACTCCCACCTAAATGTGTTTCCAATATGGGGTTATTAATTATAAATATACGGTTATTTAAGATATTTTTCGATTACATTTACAGTATCGCGTGTTATTTAATGCGTAATTACAGCAACTTTTATTAGGCGTCGCATGTGTAAGCAGCTAGACACATCGTATGGCCACACGCTACGTTCACCACTGTCAATTTTTTTTACGATTTTCTTTTTCAGGACAAATGACGATACAAGACCTGATTAAGGGCTGTGTACGATTCTTCTTCACGACGCGAACGAGATATACGAGTGTTCCAATTCTCTTTTCTTCAGACTTTCATTAATTTCATCAACTAACAACAAGAGAGCGTATGTTAGTATCATAACTCATACTCACGAAAAGTTGCTAAAAACTCTTATTGTTTCTAATGTAGACTTACTGCGTCAAATACACACACTCCACGGTCTTGAACACAGGAAAATGAGAGCATGTCGTAAATTAATGTCAGTCATACTAAAACCAGTAATTGTCATATAAAATAAAATAGCAGCCGTTCCACAACACGTAGTTAGTACCTATGCATAACTTTACTTTTTTTTTCTTCAGCAACGGCGAATAAATATTGATAGTATCCGTGACATGCAACACAGGGTCTGAATAAGACATGTGGTATTGGAGAACTTGTATCGGGAGGAAGGAACTTGCCATTAGGACCATGTTTAGTTCTATCCGTCACAAAATCATAAAGTACAGCTTCAACCAAATCTTCCATTAACAGTATGTGGTTTTGTTTAAGTTAAGTTAGGTTATGTTAGGCATGTCTCGTGGTGTGTCAAGGAAGGATCAGGGACTAATGATAACTCAGTACCAAACGACTGAGGTATACTGCATGTATTACTGTACGTTAAATATGAGCACTGTAGCTCTCCATTACGCGAATTCTATGTATAGTTGAATACCAATATACACAGTAAGGGGTTAAATAGATAGTGTATATCCATAACTGAAAATCTAAAGGCAATTACAAGGTCGAGAAGTTTCGTAAATAAACACCAGGTCTACAAAACACCTTATTAAATATGTATTTTAAACTTCAGGGAAAGAGAGCTGTAGTTAGTGATCATCAATGAATAAGTAAATACTGCCATCACTCCCGGCCCCGCCCCGATGTGCAGTGACGGATGCTTCCACCCCCAGAGAAACTAAACCTTCTCGGCTAGGGCATACTGTGGGTCCTGGGGATTGAATAAAGCCTCTGATGCACTTCACTGTACTGTGTTCAAATTATCATCACACGCACTGTACGTTTTCTGGACAATAAGAATAAACAACATAATGAGTATAACCTGATTGCCAGACAAACTTTTACGCCGATGTTATCAAACTTAAAATTGCTATTCGATAAATTTAAGACCTCAGCGAACGTGACATTGTAGTATTTTGGATTAATTAAAGAATTTAAGTGGGACGAATAAATGGATGAGACTTTACATTATTAAAATTAGGTGTTTATAATTCATCTTTGACAATGAATACAGAAAGAACATTGTTAAAATGCATGAAAACTGGTATATAAAAACAGGCTCAATGTTTTTTACCTTTCAGAAAAAAAGTCATTGTACAATGTACATACGTCACTACTGTATATAGAAATACTCGTATTGCGATATGTATGTTAGAAATTTTTTCCAGCGGTCGTGTCGCAAAACCAACAATGTGACACTCGATAATAATAGAACCTACGATTTATATATTAGTGACTTGTATATAATAGCAGAACATAAAAACAGTGAAAAATAAGTTGAACCGCATATTGGATAGATGTTATATGTGAATTTATTTTAAACACTGGTGTTGTAAGTAAACAATACAACGAGCTGTTTTGTTATAAATACTGTATATGCACTTCTTTTTATATACCGACGTGAATAAAGGTTTCCACATTTTCGTTTAAGTGTTTTACAGAAGAGTAAAAATTACTTATAAAATTTTGGCATTTATAAGTACGAAACGTCTTATTCGAAGACATGTTTGTTTATGCGCCCAAACATTTTTATTCTCAAAATGTCACATAGTAAACTATTGACAACTTCGAAAAAACAGATGTAATGAGCACTTTTCACTGTTATCGAGTGTCATGTTAGAGTATCCTTTAAAACCAGTAACAAGTCTTTCAACAACTTAACACTTCCTTAATTTACAGAATGTAATACCAATAATCGGTAGGGCTTAACTACCACGCCTACTGCAGTATAACAAAAGCTGTTGCAAATCTACTGTAGCCTCAAGAAGATAAGAAAATAATTATGAAAGAGCAAAACTTACGTTGTTGTTATATGAGATTGTCGGACCGTAGTCCGACACGGGCCTGCCTATAGGCGGCCAGTTTAAACAAAACTTACTAGGCTTACTATAAGATAGATGACTAGTTGCTAAAACTACAGAAATAGAGCAACCTCTACTAGCCCATTGAGACATGATATTTGCAATCTCTTTAGAATAGAGTGATAGCAATAAGTTTCTAAGTTTACAGCACCATGATGCTTACAGTTACTAGTGACCGGAAAAGAAACTGATGGGACTAAAGGAGCACAACATTAGTAGCTTATATTACCGTAACATTGCAGCAAATAGTTGCAAGATATACTGCAAGGCAAAAGAAGTAGCAACACTAGGGGCTACAAACAGCAGCAATAGCAGCTAGGAGCAGCAGTAACACCACAGTAGTTGCAGCAGCGGCAGCAACAAAAACTCACCCTCTTCCATACCAAGGTAATTTTTCAGCCTGTTCCTGGCTTCATCATAGTAGCCTCGTAGCTTGTCCACGTTGGAGACTCCACCAGCACTTTCTTGCTGGTCGTGACACACAAACTGGTCTCTGCTCACGGGCCTCCTCCCTGGGGCCAGGTGTTCCATCCCACACCCTCTACTACCACTCACCTCCCACCCATATGGAGCCTCACGACGTGCACGCCAGCCACGCTCCAGTGGGTGTGTCGAGGGGCCAAAGGTGGAGCGACGAGGGTGTGTTGCCTCAACTAGCGCCTGTCACGTTGTGGCTCCTGTCGCGACCAACCCCTGCCAGTGCACACCACCCTGCCCCCACACCCACCCACACCACCACCCACCCCTGCCCTCCACACCAGCCCCACCCCCCACACCCACCCCTGCCCCACACCCACCCCTGCCCCACACCCACCCATTGCCTCCACACCCACCCCTGCCCAGAACACCCAACCCCTGCCTCTACAACCCACCCCCCTGCCCCCTGCCCACACCCAACCTGCCCCCACACCCACCCTGCTCCACACCCACCCCCTGCCCCCACACCCACCCCCTGCCCCCACACCCAACCCCTGCCCCCACACCCACCCCCTGCCCCACACCCAACCCCTATCCCCACACCCACCCCTGCCCACACCCCACACCTGCCCCCACACCCAACCCCGCCCCCACACCCAACCCCTGCCCCCACACCACCCCTGCCCCCAACACCCACCCCTGCCCCCACACCCAACCCCTGCCCCCACACCCACCCCCACCCCAACACCCACCCCTGCCTCACACACCCACACCTGCCCCCCCACCCAACCCCTGCTCCCACACCCACCCATGGCCCCACACCCAACCCCTGCTCCCACACCCCATGCCCCACACCCACCCATGCCCCACACCCACCCCACCCCAACACCCACCCCTGCCTCCACATCCAACCCCTGCCCCCACACCCAACCCCAGCCCCACACCCAACCCTATCCCCACACCCATCCCCTCCCCACACCCAACCCCGCCCCCACACCCAACCCCATCCCACACCCAACCTGCTCCCCACACCCAACTCTGCCCCCACACCCAACCCCTCTCTCACACCCAACCCTGCCTCCCCACACCCAACCCTATCCCCACACCCAACTCTGCTCCCTACACCCAACCCTGCCCCCTCACACCCAACCCCTGCCTCCCCACACCCAACCCTGCCCTGACACCCACCCTCATGCCCCACACCCACCAATGTCCCCACACCCAACCCTGCCCTACACCCACCCCTGCCCCCACACCCAACCAGGCCCCCACACCCACCCCTGCCTCCACACCCAACCAGGCCCCCACACCCACCCCTGCTCCACACCCACCCCTGCCCCCAATTCCACCCCTGCCCCACACCCACCCCTGCCCCCACACCCACCCCCTGCCCCCCACACCCACCCCCCTGCCCCCTCACCCACCCCCCCTGCCCTACACCCACCCCTGCCTCCACCCACCCCTGCCTCCACACCCACCCTGCCCTCACACCCACCCCTGCCCCCACACCCACCCCTGCCTCACACCCACCCCTGCCTCCACACCCACCCAGCCCCCACACCCAACCCTCCACACCCACCCCTGCCCCACACCCAACCCCTGCCCACCCACCTGCCCACACCCACCCCTGCCCACACCCACCCCTGCCCCCCACACCCAACCCCTGCCCCCACACCACCCCTGCCCCACACCCACCTCCCTCCACACCCACCCCTGCCCCACACCCACCCCTGCCCACACCCACCCCTGCCTCCACACCCACCCCTGCCTCCACACCCCAGCCCCCACACCCACCCCTGCCCACACCCACCCCCTGCCTCCACACCCACCCCCTGCCTCCACACCTCCACCCCTGCCTCCATACCCACCTCCCTGCCTCCACACCCACCCCTGCCCCACACCCACCCCTGCCTCCCACACCCACCCCTGCCTCCACACCCACCCCTGCCCCCACACCCACCCCTGCCCACACACCCAACCCCTGCTCCTCCACACCCCTGCCTCCACACCCACCCCCTGCCCCACACCCACCCCCTGCCCACACCCACCTGCCCCCACACCCAACCCCTGCCCCACACCCACCCCTGCTCCACACCACCCCAGCCCCACACCCACCCCAGCCCCACCCCTGCCCCACACCCACCCCCACCTCCACACCCACCCCTGCCTCCACACCCACCCTGCTCCACACCCACCCCTGCCTCCACACCCACCCCTGCCTCCCACACCCCACCCCTGCCCACACCCACCCCTGCCCACCCACCCCTGCCCCACACCCACCCTGCCCACACCCACCCCTGCCCACACCCACCCCAGCCCCACACCCACCCCGTCCCCACACCCACCCCGCCTCCCACACCCAACCCCTGCCCCACACCCAACCCAGCCCCCCACACCCACCCCCTGCCTCCACACCCACCCCCTGCCCACACCCACCCGCCCACACCCAGCCCCTGCCCACACCCACCCCTGCCCCCCACACCCACCCCTGCCTCCACACCCCACCACCCCTGCCTCTATCCACACACCCCTGCTCTACACCCACACACCCCTGCTCTCATACCCACACACCCCTGCCTCTAAACCCACACACCCCTGCTCTCTATACCTACACACCCCCTGCCTCTACACTCACACACCTGCTCCCTATACCCACACACCCCTGCCTCTACACACCCACACACCCCTGCCTCTACACCAACACACCCCTGCCTCTATACCCACACACCCTGCCTCTACACCCACACACCCTGCCCCCACACCCACACCCCTGCTCTCTATACCCACACACCCCCTGCCTCTTATACCCACACACCCTGCCACTCACACCAACTACACCCCTGCTCTTTATACTCACACACCCTGCTCTCTACACCTACACACCCCTGCTCTATACCCACACACCCCACCCCATACCCACACACCCCACACCACAATCCAACACACCCCTGTCTTTCACCCACACACCCCTGCCCTTATCACCCACACACCCCCTGCCCCCACACACCCCTGCCCCTATACCCACACACCCCTGCCCCCACACCTTCACACCCTGCTGACACCCACACAACCCTGCCCCACACCCACACACCCCCTGCCCCCACACCCCCTCCACACACCCCTGCCCCCACACCCACACACCCCTGCTCCCCATACCTTCCACACCCCTGCCTCTATACCCACACCACCCTGCCCCCCACACCCACACACCCCTGCCTCTACACCACACACCCCCTGTCCCTACACCCACACCCCAGTTCTGATCACCCACACTCTGCCTCACACCCACACACACCCCTCTATACCCCACACCCCTGTCTCCACACCCACCACACCCACACCCACACAACTCCTGCCCCCCACCCACACACCCCTGTCCCCACACCCACACACACCCCTGCCCCACACCCCACACACTCCTGCCCCACACCCACACACCCCTGGCCCCCACACCCACACCCCCACCCCATACACCCACCACCCCTGGCCCCCACACAACCTGCCCCCATCCCCACACCCTGCTCCCCACACACCCCTGCCCATACACCTTCACACCCCTGCCCTATACCCACACCACCTGCCCCCATACCCCACACACCCTGCCCCCACACCCACACACACCCGCCTCATGCCCCACACACCCTGCCTCCATACCCACACACCGCCCCCACACCCACACACCCCTGCCCCACCCCACACCCTCTGCCCATTCCCACACACCCCTCTGCCCCACGACACACCTCTGCCTCCACACCCACACACTGCCCCACACACCCACACACCCCTGCCCCACACCCACACACCGCCCCACACCTAACTCCCCGCCCCCATACACCCACACACCCCCGCCCCCATACCCACACACCCCTGCCTCTCCACACCCACACCTACTCACCCTGCCCCTACACCTCCACACACCCCCTGCCTCTATACTCCACACTCTGCCCTGCATACTCCACACACATCCTGCCCCCATTCCCACACCCCCTGCTCTACACCCACACAACCCTGCCCCCACACCCACACCTGCCCCACACCCACACACCCCTGCCCCCCCCACACACACACACACCCCTGCCCCTACACCCACACACCCCCTGCCCCCACACCCACACACCCTGCCCACACCCACACACCTGCCCCATCACCCACACCACCCCTGCCCCCACACACCGTCGCCCTACACCCACACTCCCCTGCCCCATAATCCACACACCCCTGCCTCTATACCCACACACCCCTGCCTCTATACCCACACCCCCTGCCTCTATACCCACTCACTCCCTTTCACACACCCACACACCCCTGCCCCCACCCCACACACCCCTGCCCCACACCCACACACCCCTGCTCCACACCCACACAACCCCTGCCACACCCACACACCCCTGCCCCACACCCACACCCCTGCCCCCCATCCCCACACAACCTGCTCCACACCCACACAACCCCTGCCCCACACCCACACACCCTGCCCTCACACCCACACACCCCTGCCCCCATCCCCACACACCCCTGCCCCACACCCACACACACCCCTGCCTCCACACCCACACACCCCTGCCTCTATACCCACCACCCCTGCCCCTGACCACCCTGCCCCTACACCTACACACCCCTGCCTCTATACCTCAACAAACCCTGCCTCTACTCCACACACCCCTGCCTCCTATACCCACCTGGCTCCACACCACACACCCTGCCCCACACCCACACACCTGCCCCACACCCACACCACCCCGCCCCCATTCCCACACACCCCTGCTCCACACCCACACACCCCTGCCCCCACACCCACACACCCCCTGCCCCCACACCCACACACACCCTGCCCCCACCCCACACACCCCGCCCCACACCCACACACCCCCTGCCCCCATACCCACACACCCCTGCCTCTATACCCCACACACCCCCCCTGCTCCACATCCACACACCCCTGCCCCTATACCCACACACCCCTGCCTCCACACCCACACACCCCTGCCTCTATACCCACACACCCCTGCCCTCCATACCCACACACCCCTGCTCTACCCCACACACCCTGCCTTATACCCACACACCCCCCTGCCTCTATACCCACACACCCCTGCCCCCATACCCCACACACCCCTGCCCCCATACCCA